CCTTTTGAGGTGATATAAACCCTTCATTTCCAACCAAAACAGCTTTCTGGCTTCAGGACAGCCTCAGGACTCAAACTTACTTTGAGATACTCTTTCAGATACTGGTGGCCCCAAATTACAACAGGTTTGCAAGTGGTCAGCTCATCCTTGATGATGGGGAAAGTTTGATCAATACCTCCAATTACACATTTTCTCCAATATTGTTTGGTTTCCAATCACATTGTCTCAGAATTACTGGGCGGGAAGCTCAGATCACAGCAGAAGTGAAGATAGTAACATTTTTGGTGTCTTTGGGTGTACAGGATGTAAAGTTAATTGGAGGGGGGAAGCGGAAAGTTGTGGGTTAACTCAGAAGAAAAAATCATTCAAGTCATTGCAGATTGGTCAATTAGTATGTGACACAAGGTTGTATTTGAGCTCAAGGAGACTTGATGAAGGAGCACATGGTCCTAGGGCTCCAGGGTCAGTCACAATTTACAATGGAGCGCAAATTCAAGTATTAAGATTTTGAATTGTCAAGTTTTCAAATTATGAAGATACAATCAAGTTGTTGTCCATAAAGCATTTGTCCCAGTGTACCTCTAGCCATTCAATCTTATAACATCTTATTCATTGCCTATAATATATATTGCTCTTCCCTTGCCTAGCATTTCTAGGCAAGGGAAGATCTTGTGACAGGGGCTAGGTCTTTGCATACAGGATTGTTCCTTTGAATGCTCCTTATCACAAGACCTGCTTGTGGAGGAGGTTTGCTGAAGACATTACCGGGAGAGTTTCACTCATCTGGTGGAACTCTCTCTGGGCAGGAGAGATCTCCTGAATGAGAACTCTTGTTATCTTAGCTTACCGCATCTGTGTAATACAATATATATTTGAACATTTTCTGTTGGGTGGGTGGGAAGGTCAAAATAATTTGTTAGTCATGATTATAAGATATGTTATGGATTTGTGAATGTATAGTGATGGATGATGAAGGAAACTTGGTAAAGAAAAAGATAGCAAGTAGAGAAACTAGAGGGGGGATATATGATCTTAGAAATGATGTATAGTCTTTTGACTGATAAACACCTGTTGCAGGAATAGAAGTCTTCTTTATTACATCTGTTTATTCCATTTCTAATTTTTTCCCTCTTAGTACTTTTGTTCCTACAAAGCTACTCTCTTCATGGACATGTCTTGTATTTTGTCCCTTGAGCAAGAGGCAAACTCCTGAGTTTGATGTACCTCTGAAGATTATCAAATCTGACTGTTTGGTACAAGCTCAGCCTGACTTACATCCAGCTAGTCTCATTGTGAAAAAAATGAGTTTGGTTGAGATTGTATCTAAACATGACATATGTGATGCTTCTTTGATGAAGATATGTAGTTGGCAGGTCAAGAAGGGCCATCACCCTTCAGAGGTAAAAATGGCCAACAAAAGTGTGCAAGAATAGCACAACTAAACATGATCATAGTATATGATATCTGTCAGCCTAGAGAGTAACTACAAGTACTCCTTAGGAAGACTAATATAAAAACTTAAAAACATAAAAACCCAAATCACATCTCACACTCAAGTTTCAAGAGTGTAATCCAATATCTACAAGCATTTAGAATAAATCCCGTGGACTATGAATGATATCATAAACCACGGTAAGAAAAGACCTTTGATTAAAAGAGCATAATTGAAATAAGGAACTCAATCCCAATTAAAACCAAACCAGCCAGGGACTTATTCGAACCCTAGCCGAATAAATCATTAAGTAACCAAGACCCAGTCAGGATCACATTCTGACCCTGACTGGTAATTACGAAACAACCAATGTTGAAATAACTCAACTATGGAAATCGCCAAGAAATTACAAATGTTGAGTATAAAAGAAGCTAAGCGATTCAGCAGAAATAGGACCTCATCGCATACTTCACACAAAACAATTACCTTTAGAAAACTCATACAATTCTATAACTCTTTTCTACCAAACTTAGCAGATTACAAATTAAATAGAGACTCCTTTACTTCATCGTAACAATATCATCTATTTCAATTTGTTCTTACTCGTTTGATAGAACTAGTTATAATTGACTATAAGTTTACTGAAAACTATTGCTCTAGAAACTATCCGTTCAAACTCCTAAACAACTTTCAACTCGTCTGAAATAGCTCTTAGACCTTTTTCCTAAATACATACAAGCTAGTCTTGCGCTTATTAGGCTAAAGTAGAACTTACGACTCACCCTGGAATAGGAGTACTCAGTACCCATTTGTAGAAGAACATTGGCAGTCCAACCAGTGAGTGATCAAGTTCTATTAGTTTATTCAAAACTTCGAAACAAACTAACAGACAAGGGCTAGAATTTATCTCTTTAAAGTAACATCAACTTTAAGGTACACCACAAACCCCTCGAAACGGTTTAGCAACCGGTGCATATTTTTGGTTTTTCAACCAAAATGGCTTGGTGAGCAGAAACGGTTTCTCAACCTTCCTCCACCGACCGGTTTCAAAACCGGGTCTTCAGACACGGGTTTAACCCCGTCAATAACCCGTGTATAGCATGTGTGTAGCCTGTGTGAAAACCGAAATTGACCTCTATAATTACAATTGCAGTAGCACAGATTTTTTACAGTACTCTCACAATGTCTCTGCTGTGGCTCTGTGGGTTTAATGAACACTAACAAAGGCAATGTCTTTCATTGAAATTAATACAAATATAAATACAAATAAATAAACATAAATAGATAAGATGGATGATAAGATAATAAAAAATGTGAGAAATGTAATAAATTCTATATCTGATTGTTTGTAACCACACTTAAAATGAAATGAAATGAATGATAAAATGAAATATAAATAATCTAATAATATACCTGCCTGTTCATAATTCTCATTCTTCATCATCAAACCCTGCATCATCTTCTTCTTCTTCATCTTCTTCTGCTTCTTCTTCTGCTTCTTCTTCTTCTTCTTCTTCTTCTTCTTCTGCTTCTGCTTCTGCTTCTGCTTCTTCATCAAACCCTGCTTCTTCTTCTTCTTCTAACCCCGCATCATCATCATCATCATCACCATCATTCTCATCATTATCATTCTTCGCGGGGAACTTCTTCATTGCATGGAGTTCTTCATCCGCTGGAACAGTATCACCCCATGTATCATCGAGATTATCCATAATCTCCTGGATGACAATCTCGTTGGGAATTGGGAACGAGGTGAGGGGTCTGATTTCCGCCAACGTCTTCTTGCCCTGGAATAGCTCATCGTCCTCCGTTAAACATTGAATGTAGAATCTGATACAAATTGGTGGTAATGAGCCAGCGTTGTGGTGCGCAGATCATGGTATCAATCAAAAAAAAAATCAAAATTTAAATTATTGATAATCATTATTGAGCAGGAGTTATTATTACATATTAATTACATCATAACTTCACAATCTAACATATATTAAATTAATTTTATAATTCATTTAATTTTATTGTTATCAATTTTTATTTTTTATTTCATCTTAAAAGTCAAAAACCATTTTTTTTTTATTATTATAGTACACATAGTTTTACATTTGACATTCAATGTTTCATGGTTTAATTCAAACAACTCAAAACAAATCTATACAAACAAACAAATCTCAAGACAGAAGCTCTTTTTATATATGAAAACCATATTTTATTTTTTGAAACACTTATTTAACTTTTAGTTTTAGTTTATTTCTTAATCAATTTGAACAAACAAAAGAAAAAACTGAGAAAAAAAATAGAAACATTTATCAGAAGAAAGTTTTAGATCAAGTACAAATTAATATTGATGTGATGTGAATGAAAAGAAAGAGAAACGAGTAAAAGTGAAGATTAGAATACATATGATCAGTGGTGTTTAGAGATCATGTTGGTTAGTTTGGTAGTTTTGAAGATAATATTGTAAATGAAAGGTGGATGAGATGACTTACAGATTGATGAAGTGAAGAGTGTTGGAAGGAAAGATCGAGATCGAGATCGATCGAGCGAAAACGAGACAGCGAGGTAAAGAGGAAGTGAAGATGTATTATGGGATATGTAGTGGCTGTACCAGTGTGAATTATGGGTTGTTACAGGTCGAAATTTTCGATTTTCGATTTTTGGATTAAGGAAGATGGTTATGAGCTCAAACAACCATGATTGATAATCAAGCTGATGAAATCAAATGAAAAGGGTAGATGAATTAGTCATTGAAGATCAAATACACATCCTTTCATCATTCATA